CTTAATTTGAGATGAGATGACCTAGTAATGGCAAATGATGCTGCCAACCCTGGAGCATCTTTGCATGGCCTCACCGTTGTAAGAGTTCAAGGCGATGTATAATATATGTAATACCCGTTCATTGCATCCAACAAGTCCACTTAGCGCCGAGCCTTGTAGCAACATCCAAATGTTCCCATAAGATGTCGAGCGCGTGTCTTTCTCCGTCAGAATATACATATCACCACTCCTGTTCCAGCTTCCGTAACACAATTATGTAAATAGGTGATTAAGTACATAATTGCATTAAGAAACTTGACAAAACTGATAGCTACACACAGCAACAATGTCACGTATCCTCTCTGCACCCATAACTTACAACTTGCGGGTCGCTCTTTTGTGAGCGGGGCCGCTCCGCTAATTCCCTGGAGATGGGATTAGATTTTAATGGATATCATTTGAATATCAAATGAAAAGATTTGTTCTCAGGAGTATGCCAAGGGTGACACATATCCACTAGAGTGAAAAGGGGAGGGGGGGATGGGGAATAAAATATCTTCTATTTATCCAGGAGATGGTGGCTTTTTTGTAGTGGAACTAATGTCTGTTTTCATGTCCCGATCAATAGATAAGGAGCAGCGCCAGAAGAACGATTCGGGGGGAAAATGAGGGTTATGTAAGCTTATTTGTACGGCTTCAGGGAGGCGATGGCGTGTTTTCAGCGAGAACACATTTTTGAATAATTATTATATTTGAAGTGAATGTGTTACAAACCGAGGCAGTCAAAATGATGGAAAAATACATAAGCGGCATTCACCGGCTGGGAAAACTGTATGCCAAAACTAACAGTGGATCCAAAGATATAGGCCACCAAACGTGTATGGAAGGGGCACTGCTAAAACCTGGGAACACCGTCCATTACATGTTTGTAGACTCAAATCGAACACCGTTCAGTAAATGAAAAAGCCAGCAGGCACAAGGATTCAGCTACTCAAGCATGCTTTAAGAATAAAGGAGTCAGAGTTTATATAAACGCTATTAACCATTAAGGGGTCTATTTATGAACAATTTGCACTGCAAACCTCTGAATGTTCGTTCTGGGCAAATAGAAGCAAAAACGAATGTTCTTGGTATATTTCCTTTGGTTGAATGTAATGTAATACTGCATTGTGGTCACTAGATAGAGCTGAAGAGCACAGTAAATAATTATGAATTCCTATGCTCCTCAGCTCCATCTAGTTCCCATAAAGCAGTGTTATATCACATTTGATCAAAAATTAACTTTTTTTCCAGTTGAAAGTAATGTAATACTGCATTATGGCCACTAAATAGAGCCGAGGGGCACAGGAAATAAGTATTTATTTATTATGCTCCTTAGCACTATCTAGTGGCCATAATGCAGTATTATATTACATTCCACCTGAAAATAAAATATACTAAGAACTAGGCATGCACCAATACTAGTACTTGTAGTCGGCCAAATGCTCTGATACTTTTCCCCAATACCGGAACTTCCAGTCAGAGGGAGATTTCCTCTGACTGGTAGTGCCGTGAGGGAACGTGGAGCTGGCTTCCCGGCCAATCAGGAAGGCGGGCGACGGGTAATGACCCGCCTCCCGGCTTTCTGACTGTCCGGGAAGCCGACTCCATGCTGTTTGGCTAGCTCAAAGCTGATTGGCCTGGAAGCTGGCTCCATGCTGATTGGCTGAGAAGCCGGCTTCCCGGCCAATCAGCATCGATCCGGGCCAAACAACATGGAGCCAGCTTTCCGGGCCAATCAGGAAAGCTGGGCGGCGAGTAATGACACACTGCCCTGCTTCCTGATTGCACGGGAAGCCGGATCCATGCTAGCAGAAGTACCAGTATCAGTACTCGGTATCGGCGAGGACAAAAGTATAAATATCGGTACTCGATACTGAAAAAACGGTCGGTGCATCCCTACTAAGAACATTCATTTTTGCCTCTATTTGCACAGAATGAATGTTCACAGAAATTCCCCGGGTGAATGCCTCTGCGAATTGTGTATAAATAAACCTCTTACAGTAAAACTAATCCCGCACTGAGGAAGGGGGAACATTATTGCTCCCAAAATATTTTGGGTTGTTGTCTTTGGAGGTCTGTGATGATAATCTGGGACTCCTATAGGACTAGTATGTCGCTGTTATTCTCCTTGTACATTCCAGAAGGATTCAGCAAGCAGGTCCAACAGAGTCACAAGATGAATGGTAGGGTGAAAGTTAGCTCTGCTCTTTCACCGGTCCGCTGAATCATTTTTAATGTAGAATTTTCATGTAGTAAATGTTTCTAAATGACCAAAGTCGCCTCATTACCACTTAAACTAAATCTTTGAATCTTTTTATATTCAGGAGAAACCCTCTTCACTTCCACCTCATCGCAGACACGATCGCCAAACAGATCCTGGCCACCCTTTTCCAGACATGGATGGTGCCCGCGGTGCGTGTGGATTTTTATGACGCGGATGAACTGAAGGTAATATATTGTTTTTTCATACCTCCCAATCTTTGTCTGTGGGATTCTGGCAGTGAGCTGTATTTCTGTTACATCTAACACAAGGATTCAATGTATACACATTGGAGTCTATTTATAAACAACTCGCACAGCCATTCGCACTGGGAATCTCTGTGGATGTTCGTTTAGTTCAAATACAGGCAAAAAATTTAAGTTCTTAATACACAATGCATTAACGAGCAGTTAACCCTTGCAGTGGAGGGGGAGCCACACCTGGAGATAGGCTTTAAAGTATAAAGTGCACAAAATAAAAATAAACAATATGTGACGCACATGACAGGTGATGGTGAAAAGTGACACTTTCTCATTGAAAATAAACCCGGCTGAAAGACAGCTGATGTAATCAGTACTGAGCTTCAGCAGTAATTGCACAGAGGCCGAGGGTGACCGGTGCTATTTACACGTCTCCTCCTGGGGTAACAGGGCTGCAGCTTGTCTCTTCTCTGTCTGCTCTCCCTCCTGAACATTCACAATCACAGCGGCTTCTTCTCAGCAGTCCAAACACACAAAAACTCAGGCAGCTTTTCGCTGACCACATCGACTTCAAGTCTATTAGACTCGGGGCAGGCGTAAACGTGGTGAGACATCTTCTGGGTCTGTTTCTCCAGGACTCCTGGACAGGAAGTGAAGGGAGATTCCCTTAATTGCACATGAACCGCAAAACAAAAGAGGTTTTAAGCTTGTTGTAAACCCGATCACTAAAATCTAATGAAATCTTTAACATATTAATGGAATTTCAAAAGTCATTTTTAATATTTTTAGATCTGTTTTGATTACAATACCTGATGATTCTGTCCTGTCCAGTCTTTGTTTGGGCACTTCCTGTTATAGGGAGACAACACTCTGTTCCGGACTCCCGAATGTGATTGTGTGTAGTCACCCTGCCACACGGGTTTCATATAGAGACTATATTTGCCTGTCCCCTAATGCCCTTAACCAACATTGTTGTCACCATCAGCAAACCCACCCTGAGAAATGCCACGCAGGCATCCCAGGAGTACAGAGGCTGCCGGAGATCAGCAGCACTGAAATGCAACAAAAGATGAAAAAAGGTGAAACTGTATTTTATTGAAAGATAAATGATAGTTGTTGATGATACACAGTGCTTTAGCGAACTATTCACTTGACTTAGGGCTTACATATGTTTTAGCCCAGAGACAGGCAACTTCGGCACTTCAGCTATGGTGAAACTACAAGTCCCATGAGACATGAGGCCACAGGCATGACTCCCAGAGGCAGAGGCATGATATAATTTTTAGTTTCACCACAGCTGGAGTGCCGAAGTTGTCTACCTCTTAGTTAAAGTATATGTAAGCCAGTGGCGGAACTATCGCCATAGCGTCCCAGGCGGCCACTATGGGGCCCGGGGGACAGGGAGACCCAGCCAGGACAAGGAACAAAGGGGTCCCCCTGATGCCATCTGGGCCGCAGGCTGCTGGCTGTCGCGGGCAGCTGTGAGGAGGAATGCACCGCTGTTCGATCACTGACAACCTACGTGATCTGTGCAGCAGTGCGTTCCTCTTCACAGCCGCTGCTCAGTAACGGCCAACTGCGGTGAAAGAGACCGGCATCGGCAGAGGAGGAGGAGGCGGAGCCCGTCAGCGGAGAAGGAGGCGGGGCACGGCGGAGGAGGAAGCTGACAGCAGATCGGGGCTGACAGGTAAGAGGTGTGCAGGGGTTGTGACTAGTGATGGGCTCAGGCGTGTTCGCAGCTCCACGTGCCGAGCCCGCCAGGAAGCTGACAGCAGCAATCACAGGTACTGAGACATTATCCCGGTCCGCAGCTGCAGAGATCGGGATATGTCTCAGTGCCTGTAGTTGGTGCTGCGGCGCTGTCAGCTTCCTGGCGGGCTCGGCACGTGGAGCCGCGAACACGCCCGAGCCCATCACTAGTTGTGACCATAGACTCTCTATGGTGGGCTCTGCAGGATCACTCTCAGGTGGGCTCTGCACGGGCGTAACTAGAAATCACAGGACCCCATACAAAATTTTGCTATGGGACCCTGTGATTTCTAGTTACGCCCTTGATGTAAGCCCTAACCTAGCCAAGCAGGGGCGTAACTAGAAATCACAGGGCCCCATAGCAAAATTTTGTATGGGGCCCCGTGATTGCTAGTTATGCCACTTGCAGAGCCCACCATAGACTCTCTATGGTGGGCTCTGCAAGGTCTCAGTTGGGCTGCACGCCTTTTACCTGTCAGCGTTGTCCACCTCCGTGGTCGTCGCTGCCGCCGGTCCCCTGCTTCCGTCCCCGGGCTCCGCCTCCTATCGACAGGCCCGGTCTCCTCTTACATCACTGGACAGGGATGTGAGAGGAGGCAGGGTTGCTGTTAGGTGGGCCCCACCTCCTTCTTTAGCTGCAAACGGCGGTGTAACCGGCCTATTCTGCTGCATCTGCTGGCTCCGCAGCGGCTGTGAGAGGGAACGTTCTCCTTCACAGCTGCTGCTGAGCTATGTCAGTGACAGCCAGCACCCGAGACGCCATAGCGACCCAGGCGGCCCACACGGCATCAGCGGCATGCCTGGCCGGGCCCCCCTGTGTACGGGCCCCATAGCGGCCGCCTGGGTCGCTATGGTGATTGTTATGCCACTGGGGCCAAGGTTTACCCAACCCTGAACATTCCCTATTGAAAGTTTTGTGGTTTAAATATTCTTCAACTCCTTAGCGCCTACGAAGTAGAAATTGTCTATTTTCGGTGGAATGACCCTTTAAATGAGCAGAGTGACAAATGAACGTGTGCCATCGTAGGACCGGTTTCCTCTTCATGCCACGTGAGTTTAATTGCCTCCCTAGTTGGAGCTTTGCCGTGCCAATAGTCTGCACCACGTAGGGCTGTTTCCAGGCACATAAAGACAAGTTAATCAGCTCCATTTGAATAAACGGCATCAGATGATTTTATATTACAGACGAGAGACGGCTTCTCTAACTGTAATGCGAGCGCGAGCGTTGCCAGGTCGGAGCGCAGAAGCGAGAGGGAATGGCCAAGAGCTGCTGCGGAGACGGCGGTTTCCACGGCCCACAATTCACTTGCCTTCCGCTGATTGCCTTGCGCGGCAGGTGACAGCAACCTCAGAACACTTGCCACCTAATTATAGGAATTCATGCCTATCGCAGCGCTGGATGTTTACTTCCCACAAGTGCGTTGAAGAGTACGAGGCATGGTGCCATCCGCTAGGTACAACTGCAATGACAGGGGAGGGAGGGAGGCGTGCGCGTCCAGATGTAGGCACGCCAGAGCAGGTGCCATTTTACTGCCCTTCTCAATCTAAAGTGTCAAAGTGGATTTAAAGGACAAATCCTAAGGTTACATCTCTTGCTATTTATGTATCTGGTAGAACATTCCGTACCACATATCAAAGAATCTTTGTTCTGAAGCCGGCAGAATAATTAATCTCTCATTCAGATTCTCGCATTGTATGGCCTTCAGTGTGATAAAAAAAAATCAATACGGTTCACACATTAAATTAAAAACACACCATATACACGTCTAGGTGGAATTAAAAATAAATATATATTGTAAGGAAGTAACATCAGACAGAGAGCGTTTCAAGGTATAGTCCACCAGAAATAAATGCACAATAAAATATTGCGCATTTATTACATTTTTGCATTCAAGCCTGCAGTGCATTGGAACCACAATCAGTGCATCGTGGGTGCAGTGCACATGCTCCTGCATTGTTTACCTCCAGACCCAGGTTCGTAGTTACATTTACCCACAGCCCCAGGTCCAAACCTTCATCTGCCCCTAATCCCAGGTCCATACCTCCAATTACACCCAGCCCCAGGTCCACACCTATGTTCACCCCCAGGTCTGTACCTCTGGTTACCCCCAGCCCCAGGTCCATACCTCCTGCCGCCCCTAATCCCAGGTCCATACCTCCATTTACACCCAGCCCCAGGTCCACACCTACGTTCACCCCCAGGTCCACACCTACGTTCACCCCCAGCCCCAGGTCCATACCTCCTGCCGCCCCTAATCCCAGGTCCATACCTCCATTTACACCCAGCCCCAGGTCCACACCTACGTTCACCCCAGGTCTGTTCTACTGGTTACCCTCAGCTCCAGGTCCATACCTCTGTCCGCCCTCGGTCCCAGGTCTGTACCTCAATTTACACCCAGTGCCAGGTCTGTACCTCAGTTTACCCCAGCCCAAGGTCTGTAGTCCCCAGAGATAGCTGGGAACAATGCTAACCAGTAACAGTTAGCAGAGAGATTTCTGGCAGGATCAAGTTTTTGGACTGATTAAGGCAGAGATGGCCAAACTCCGGCCCTCCAGCTGTGGTGAAACTACAAATCTCATGAAGCATATCTCTCCGGGAGTCATGTCTGTGAGAATCTTGCAAAGCCTCATGCGATTTGTAGTTCCACCACAGCTGGGGGGCCGCAGTTTGGCCATCCCTGGATTAAGGGGATAGTACAAAAACTTGTTTGTAAACTTTAAAGTGACATTAAAGGATAATTCCCCACTTCCCAATGTTGGTGTAAGGACTTCCCTTAAATTATGCCTCTTAATCCGATCATCTTCTTCTTTCCTGTAGTTTTCAGCTGTCCCTCCAGCGCTGGTGCCGGTCTCTGATCCAGCGCTGACTCCTCTGTGCTAGCTGACACTTCCTGTCCCACAGAATCTGTGCGGGTGAACGCTGCTCCATAGACTTACCCTGTGTCTCTCCTCGTCTCCCGCCCAAAGATCTGAACTGTACATGCGCCCGCCCCAAGATCCTTTGCTGCCGCCCAAGACTCTTCAGATGTTTGGACGGGAGCGCGGCGAAGACACAGGTAAGTTTTAACCTGTTTGAAAAGTTTTTTTTTTTCGTTTTTTTTTTAATGTTTTTGCATATTAATACTGCTTGCTAGCAGTAGATATATGCAAAACATGCTGAGGGTTAATTAACCCTTTATGGCCCCATTCACACTCGACGTTGCAGGAATGATTGTGCGTAGATTTTGCCGCATTTGCCG